GCCCTGGGACAGCCACATATAAAGAAACAGAAAATTTATGGAACACTAAAGAGGAAAATCATAAGTTGGCATGTATTTACTGATGATTTTTCTAAACGACTGCTTACTCATGTGAATAGTTAAATAGAAGTTAATATCCAGTATCAGCCGCATATAACCCTAACGTAGTACGTAGCAATCTAACACAGAACACTAACTTCACTATTTACAAATCTAAAGTTTGTAACTCAAATATGAATCTCACCAGTTGTGTATTGTAAGACGTCATCTTCATAGTCTTTCCCCCTCTGCAAGTGACAACGAACTCCATTGCTCATTGCAGTGCCATATATTAAGCTCAAATCATGGTAGTTTAGCAAGGACTTCTTCCTGTAGGAGCGTGCATCTGGATGTGCCTAGATCAGCAATAATAAGAGTCATATACGAGTACGACAAAAACGTAACTGTCATCATGATGTGAATGATTGCATACCTTGATGTAATTTTCCCAAACAACATCATCGGCCACTATCCTTTGTTGTCTTTCATCCCAAATGAATTCGTTTTCCTCCAGTAACAACATCATCGGCCACTATCCTTTGTTGTCTTTCATCCCAAATGAATTTGTTTTCCTCAAGCAGGCTCCTTACATTGGTATAATACTTGAACAATTTCTTATAACGCTGTCTCAATATTTTAATCCCATATTGAAAACCGAATTTTGCATTGAACGAAGTAAGGATATCTTTCCAAGCTTGTCTTGTAAAGGTATCGTTAACCTTACTGCCTTTTCTCAGTTGACCAAGCAAAAGTTTGATAAAATAACGGTCCATGGCTAGTGTCCAATCTGTTTTTACTTGCTCATTAGTTGCAGGAACAAGATTGTTCACTTCAAGCACTAAAAAAATGGAGAGAAAAAAAATGAGAAAGGTGATATTTAAAAACTTTAAATATAATACTCGAGGATACCATCGGTAATCAAGTAAAAGTTTGGTGATTTCATAATTAAAAAAATTACAATGCTCGCAAATGTCATTAGCAGTTAAGAAAATAAATGGTAAAACTAAAAAAAAATAAAAAAATAAAAAAGGATTGTCACTTATAGCCAGACCGCCTTATTTTGTCTTCATCTCATTACAGGCACATTGCAAGAGTGAGCGAAAAGGGTTATCACATTTACATTTTTCAGGGTATAATAGACTTCATTCCATCATAAAAACTTAACTTAAAGACTAGATTTGCAAAGGTTGACTATACAAACACAAGTTGTTCTTATAGTTTTCAAATCACTTACCTACATATAAGTAACCAAAAATGCTGCTGGGAAAAATTGTCATAGATCATAATCGAATCAAAGACATCACAATTTATTTGTATCATTCCTTTAGTATGTGAAAAGATGCAGAGGCATACCGACATTTAATGATTGGAAGTCATCATCAAAGTCTATATCATGACTTGAAAGGCTATATCGTCCATCTGCAGTTGTATGTGCATATATCAAGCACAAATCATTGAAGTTCAGTAAAGCTTTGTTCCTGTAGTATTGCGCATCTGGGTGAGCCTGCATGAATGCCGTATATAAATTTACTTCGAGAATGGTGAAAAATTTTGTACACAAATAAGAGGTAGAGCACCTTGGTGTAGCCATCCCAGACGCATCTTTCAGCAACCACCATTTTCCGAGTGCTGTCCCACGAAAATCCATTCTGATCAAGGAGATTCTTCACATCGCTAAATTGCTTCCATAAGCTCGTATAATGACTTTTCAACACATTTACATCATATGGAGATCTGAAACTGGAATTGAACATGACCAACATGTCATTCCATGCTTGTTTGTTGAAGGTGTGGCCCATCCTATTTCCCCTATGCACCTGATCTAGCATCAGGTCAATAAAATAGCGCTCCATTGCTGGCGTCCAGGTTGTCCTTGAGCGGTCTCCGACTAAATGGGTTTGGCTGCCCATCTATCTATCACTTAGAGCATTGAATATCAGTGGATCAAATACTACCAGTACATTATTAGTTACATAAATGTGTGAATGACATGCTAATTACGATAGCTGATAGTGTAGTAAGAATGTTTGTTAGCCGAAAAAACTCCCAGG